TTCCATCTTTCCTTGGCTTCTTTATGCACATTAATACAAATTTTTAGCTGGGGTGCCCAAACTTTCGATCCCCACTGTACATATTTATTGGCTGGATTTATTTCATCACTATAGATTTATTATGTTTATGTCACTATGACCTATTATTGATTTAAGTGCTCTGTGGGGTGTTTTCTTTTAGTTTCTTTTGGCATCATATTTTAAATTTTTTATAAATAGGGTTTACGTACACCTTAAAGTGGAACTGAAGATTAAAAATTAAAAGTGCAAACAGATAGGCATCGTATTGCAGAAGAGACATTCAATGTCTCTTCAGCAATAAAATACACTTACCTGCCAGTTCGCAACCACCTAAAAGAATATACACTGAGCATGCATGAATTTATGATTTAGTTCCGTTTAAATTAGTACAGTTAGTTGTATAAATCTCTGTGTCAGGCCAAATAGAGACACTTGTGGAGGCAAGAGGAACATGGGGATTTTTTTTTCCAATATAGCAATTGTCAGTCCTAAAGAGGGATAGTTACAATCTTTGCAGTAAGTAAATACAACTGAAGTGAGGTGGCTCAGTCTTTGTGGTGTGAGTGGGTACCCTTATAAATTAGCTCACTGTTAGTGAGATAGATTATGGGAACACCTGTTAGAAAGTAGGTATGGCACCCATCAGCAGAATATTAACCAAGAAACAATGCATTGTTTTTTGTATTTTGTTGTACTGGTTGTAAGTGTGGCATCTTCATAGCACCAGGTTATTATTATTTTATAATCATAAAGAATTATTAAGTTTTTTTTCTATCACAGTCTAAGACACATCCAAGGAACATTGAAGGATCCTTGTGAACTTTCAAAGAAATGAAAACAAACAAATAAATTGTCTATATTGACTTAAAATATATCAGGAATGTGTCAGGAATAGATATATATATGAGAATGAAGTTCGTATGCTCAAGAAGGGCTCTGTGAAGGGAGAAGCTGGCCAAGGTCACTTAGGGTGGGGTGCCAGGTATACGTTAGAACACTGATCAGTTGCATTCCAGCCCTGTCAGAGCTGAGACATTCTTTTTTGTGACACTCTGTTCAAGTGCCTTGTATTAAGAAAAATGCAAGCGAGTTTGGAACAGCGGAAAGCGATAACATTTTGGTGAAACTGGGTAAAAGTGCATCAGAAACTTTGGTGAGGAAAGCTTATGGAGAAGCTGCGCTATCATCTGCACATGTGTACCAATGGTAGAATGCCTTCAAGAAAGGACGAGAAGGTGTTGAAGATGAAGAACGATCAAGACGCCCCTCTTCATCAAAGGAAACAGGAATTACCATGTCAATTGTTCATGAAATTGTGACTCAATATTTGAACATTAGAAAAGTGTGTACAAAACATGTTCCAAAGAACTAGTGACCTGATCAGAAGGAACACCATCAACTCATTTTCTAAGACCTGTTGGCCTGTTTGGAAAGAAAGCCCGGGTTTGAGTATGATCCCGAGATGACGAAACAAAATTCAGAATGGCACACACCCATGTCACCTCGACCCAAGAAAGCTCGAATGAGCAAATCAAAATTCAACTCAATGGTCATTGTTTTTTTTGATTGATGTGGAATTGTCAATAAGAAATTTGTACCTACTGGTCAAAATGTGAATCAAAGATTTTACTTGGATGTTCTTGGTTCTTGAGACAAAGAGTTTTTCGTGTGTGTCCTGAGATCCTTCATCACAACAAAGCACCAAGTCACAGTGCTTTGGCTGTCAGAGAGTTTTTGACTGAAAAACACATCACAGTGCGTTCCCATTCACCCTACTGCCCCGAGTTGGCTCCTTGCAACTTTTTCATATTCCCAAAGATGAAAAAGGGTTTGAATGGACACCATTTTGGTAGTGTGGATAATGTCCACGACGCAGGCCCTGAATGCCATCCCACTTGAAGATTTCCAGGGATGCTATGAAAAATGGAAGAATCTCTGGGAGCATTGTGTACACTCACAAGGTGCATACTTTGAAGGAGACAATTTTCAATTATAAAATTTTTCAGTAAAATAATTTTTAAAATATCAATCCTCATTACTTTCTGAACACACCTCATATGTTTATTCTCCTGATAAGGTGGGTGCCTTGCCCCCCAGAATGCCTAGACCTTTTATTTTTTACATATGAATTAAAACTGGGATATTTCTGAACACATTTCAAATGTCTCTCAGGTAATCCGGGGGGGGGGGGATATTTGCTCTGGATTTTCCAGATCTGAACACCAGGCTTAGCAATTCATTTTACAATATAGAGAATACAATAGGAAGAGTTGGAACAACCTTGATGTAGAATAGGCAAGACAATTTCATGGTGGGTAGGAAAAGAGGTGGGAATGCTGGCAGAGGGATCTTGCTGTGTAAGTCCCTATTACATGCATAATTACAAATTAAGATAAAGATGTAAAGCTCCTGTGGTGAATTCTCAGAATTGTATTGGGAAATCAAAATTTTTACACCTTTGCCAAGACTTTGTAAAGGAGACAGAGAACATGGGAAAATCTCACCACTGGGAGTCTGAGATACATAAGAAGCTAGTGGGTAACTCAGAACACCAAAATCTACCTAGATGTAAAATATTGCTTTTGGATGGGCTGATCATGTGGTAATGGCATAAAAAAGGACTATGAGTGTCTGTAATATCTGTTCTGTTCACAGACAACAGTGTGGCATCAGAACAGACATATGTTGCACAGTAACTTGCAGGATGAAGTGCAAAGTACACAGACAGCCTGTTCCGATTAAAGGGCAATAAGGCTGTTTACTTGCCCATCTGGGGCTGGTTACAGGGCGAGAAATAGTGAAACAGAAAGTGTGTTATCCCCTCTGCGGTTTCTGTTTTTGTAACCAGATGTCACAGCTGAGTGAGGGTCATTTGGTCTGTAATTTGTTTTCTAGAGGAGCGGTTTATTTCTTTTTCATACAGTGGCTCATTTCACCCTCTGTTGCTGCTCAAGACATTCACCACAGAGCATGCTTTCTAAAGCTTTGAGCATGTGGATGTATATGGACACTGTCAGTTTCCACAACCTGGAAAGGATTTTTGAATGACTCAACGTAGATAATAAAGAGTTTTCTAAATAACAGATAAGCGCTGATTGTTACAAGACATAAACTGTGAACATCACATACTATCATAAACATGTAGATGGCATTCATCTATTAAAAGCATTACAGTTAAAAGTCACATACGCTGTCATGGAGATTTACAGAATTATGCTGCCTACCAGAAAGAAAAAGGTACACAAGTCTATATTTAAATACATTTGTTGGCTCTTTATTGATTCCTTACGACACTTAAAGTGAGCACTTAAGTAGACCAAGCCAAACAAATTCAGATCTGACTTGGACCTAGGTGTTTTGGTCACTAAATGCTCACAGATTAAACCAAGAACCATGTTTATGCCTATGGAGAGAGGAGAAAAGGGTGTACACAGAGTAAAAACAGCAGTCAGAAAAGTGCTTTCCAGCCAATCTAGGATCTAATGGTAAGTAGTATCTGCAGGTTAGTTGCATTTGTATTGAGTGACTGCCATAATGTCCATGAGTATCTTGATGCTGTAGAGTTTATAAAGGTGCCTTTCTCAGTGAAACAGACGTGATGATGGACTATGTCATAGGAAAACAGTTTCTACACAAATGTAATAATAGTGGCCTTGCTTTCTCTAGGGTACACAGCCTCAAAAGTGGTGTTTTCTGCAAGTACTGAGAGCCCACACAACAGTTCAGGTTTAAGGCTGGCCACAGCGTTTATGACAATTTTATTTTGTTTCCATGTTCAAATAAACAAGCAGGATTACCAGTAGAGATGAGCGAAGTATTCAAAAAAAATTCGATTCGACTGATTCGGCGAATTCGTGGAAAAATTTTGATTCGAGTCGAATATATTCGCTGCGAATTTAACTTATAAAAGGGTGTTTCTAGGCTTCAGAGAGACTTTATATTAGTGCAGAACACTGTACCTTTAATTTAAATGCCCTTGGAGTCTGCTGGGGAAGAGAAATAATACTGACAGTCAGTATGACATGCAGATGAGTGCCGTCGATCTTAGAATCACCGCACACTTCACTCATTTGGGCAGTCACGGGGCCAAAACCAGAGTGTGGAGCCACAGTGTGGCGGTGGAGGCAGCAGCAATGGGAGGCCATACAGCACCCTATGACAAAAATGGAAACCACCAGCAGTGTGAGGAGACCTGAAAGTGGCACATGGCAGAGTGTGGCAATGGAGACAGCAGCAATGGGAGGCCGTACAGGGACCCATGACACACTCTGGACCTGGCAGCAGCATGAGGAGGCGGTACAGGGGCCCATGACAGATTACGGGCCTGGCAGCAGCATGAGGAGTTGGTACGGGGGGCCCATGGCAGATTACGGGCCTGGCAGCAGCAATGGGAGGCCGTACAGGGACCCATGACACACTCTGGACCTGGCAGCAGCATGAGGAGGCGGTACAGGGGCGCATGACAGATTACGAGCCTGGCAGCAGCAACTTGGACAGGAGGACGTTCAGCTTCTGCACCGTTGGGTGCGTGCTCGCAAACTGTTGTCTCTTGGAAACGGATTCCAAGAAAGACTGCTGACGGAATCCGTGAAGAGGAGTAGCAGGAGAAGGAGCATCTGAACGAGCGGAATATGCCAACAAGCGACAACAGGGGCCCATGACAGATTACGGGCCTGGCAGCAGCATGAGGAGTCGGTACGGGGGCCCATGGCAGATTAGGGGCCTGGCAGCAGCTATGGGAGGCCCGTAATCTGCCAGCACCCTATGACAAAAAATGGAACCCACCAGCAGTGTGAGGAGACCTGAAAGTGGCACATGGCAGAGTGTGGCGATGGAGACAGCAGCAATGGGAGGCCGTACAGGGACCCATGAGAGACTCTGGACCTGGCAGCAGCATGAGGAGGCGGTATAGGGGCCCATGGCAGATTAGGGGCCTGGCAGCAGCTATGGGAGGCCCGTAATCTGCCAGCACCCTATGACAAAAAATGGAACCCACCAGCAGTGTGAGGAGACCTGAAAGTGGCACATGGCAGAGTGTGGCGATGGAGACAGCAGCAATGGGAGGCCGTACAGGGACCCATGAGAGACTCTGGACTTGGCAGCAGCATGAGGAGGCGGTATAGGGGCCCATGGCAGATTAGGGGCCTGGCAGCAGCTATGGGAGGCCCGTAATCTGCCAGCACCCTATGACAAAAAATGGAACACACCAGCAGTGTGAGGAGACCTGAAAGTGGCACATGTTTGGGGCATGATTCATGGCGGATTTAGTCAGTTGTGTCAGGAACTGGTGGTTTGAAATCCAGACTAATCCACGCCTGATTCATTTTCACAAACGTGAGTCTCTCCACACTTTGGGTGGACAGTCGTGTCCTCCGCGGAGTTGCAATACCTCCTGCCGCACTAAACACGCGCTCCGATGCCACGCTACTGGCTGGGCATGACAGCCTTTCAAGGGCAAATTCAGCTAGTTTGGGGCCAAAGGTCAAGTTTCATTGCCCAGTAGTCAAGGGATTGTCTACCTCGGTTGGCAGGGTGCTGTCCAAGTAGGCCTAAGCCTGTTGTTTGAGGTCCTGCTCCAGGTCCACCTGAATGAGCTGCTGCTGCTGCTGCTGCTGCTGCTGCTGCGGCTGGTTAGTAGTTTTCCTCACTGCGCTGGTGAAGAAAGCTACTCATCATCGACTGCAGACTGAGGCAGCTGCTGCTGGTGGGAGCTGCCACTGCTCCTACCACCCCACCCCTCCCCTGCTGCCATGGCAGGGAACGCGAGCGCACAGGGCCCACAGTGTCTGAGGATGGACGTTGGCGCAGACAGGCAGAGACCAGCTGACTACATAGGTGGTTTTTATAGTACGTTATTTTGGCCTCCCTCTCAGCAGGTGTGAAAAAGGCCACCATTTTTTGAACGGTAGCGAGGGTCCAACAAGGTGGACAGCCAAAAGTCATCCCTCTGTCTGATGGTTATTATTCGGCTGTCGGTACGCAAGCAAGCGAGCATGCTATGGGCCATTTGTGCCAAGGAATGCGAGGGACTCCCTGCCTCCATCTCCACAGCATACTGCCACGGTGCGTCTGGGTCCTCTGTCTCCTCTTCCTCCTCCTCTACCAGATGCTCCTGCTCCTCCACTCCTGTCCGCTGAGTGGAAAAACCACCCATTTCACTCAATAATTCCTGAGCACCAATGTCCTCCTCTACCTCCTCCTCTTCTTCCTGTCCTGCCCCCACAGGGGTCATGTGGCGTTGAGATCTGTGCGCCACGTCTACCGCACCCTGACCAGCCATTGTTTAACAGCATTTGTTCCAGGACGTGCAACAGAGGAATGACGTCGTTCATCCCATAGTCCTGCCGACTCACGAATAGCGTGGCTCCTCAAAGGGCCTGAGCAAGTGCAGGTGTCACGCATGAGCTGCCAATGGCTGACATCTAATTACACAGGGAGTACCTTTATCCGCTTTTAACATCAGGAAATCGTGATGGCCTTTTGCTGTTCGTAAAGGCGGTCTAACATATGTAGGGTTGAATTTCCACCTTGTTGCAAACGTCACAGCATGAGGAGTCGGTACGGGGGCCCATGGGGCAGATTACGGGCCTGGCAGCAGCAATGGGAGGCCCGTAATCTGCCAGCACCCTATGTCAAAAAATTCAACACACCAGCAGTGTTGTGAGGAGACCTGAAAGTGGCACATGGCAGAGTGTGGCGATGGATACAGCAGCAATGGAGCAGCCGTACAGGGATCTGCCACCCATGAGAGACTCAGTTGTGGACCTGGCAGCAGCACTGTGGACTGAGGAGGCGGTATAGGGGCCCATGGCAGATTAGGGGCCTGGCAGCAGCTATAGGAGGCCCGTAATCTGCCAGCACCCCTATGTCAAAAAATTGAACACAAACCAGCAGTGTGAGGAGACCTGAAAGTGGGAACATGGCATGAGAGACACAGTGGATCCCTGGCACCAGCATGAGGAGGCGGTATAAGGGGCCCATGGCAGATTAGGGGCCTGGCAGCAGCTATGGGAGGAGCCCGTAATCTGCCCAGCACCCAATGTCCAAAAAATTCAACACACCAGCAGTGTGAGGAGGACCTGAAAAGTGGGCACATGGCAGAATGTGGCGATGGAGACAGCACAATGGGACGGCCGTACAGGGACCCATGACAGACTCTGGACTTGGCCCAGCAGCATGAGGAGGCGGTAATAGGGGCCCATGGCAGATTAGGGGCCTGGCAGCAGCTATGGGAGGCCCGTAATCTGCCAGCCACCCTATGTCAAAAAATTTCAACACACCAGCCAGTGTGAGGAGAGACCTGAAAGTGGCATCATGGCATGAGACACTGTGGACCAGGCAGCAGCATGAGGAGGCGGTACAGGGTCCCATGGCAGATTAGGGGCCTTGCAGCAGCTATGGGAGGCCCGTAATCTGCCAGCACCCTATGACAAAAAATGCAACACCAACGCAGGACCACGTGAGGAGACCCTGAAATTGGCACATGGCAGAGTGTGTGGCGATGGAGACAGCAGCAATGGGAGGCCGTACAGGACCCATGACAGACTTCTCTGGCACACATGAGGAGCCTTGTATAGGGGCCCAGTCAGATTAGGGGCCTGGCAGCAGATGAGAGCCCGTAATCTGCCCCACCCTATGTCAAAAAATTCAACACACCAGCAGTGGGAGACCCTGAAGGCACATGGCATGAGACACTGTGAGGGGCAGCCATGAGGAGGCGGCAGGGGCCATGGCAGATTAAGGGCCCAGATAAATGGGAGGCCCGTAATCTGCCACTTCCCTATGTCAAAAAAATTGAACACACCAGCAGTGTGTGGGAGGAGACCTGAAAGTGGCACAATGGCAGAGTGTGGCGATGGAGACAGCAGCAATGGGAGGCCGTAACAGGGACCCATGACAGACTCTGGACCTGGCAGCAGGCAGCATGAGGAGGCGGTATAGGGGCCCATGGCAGATTAGTTATGGAGGGCCTGGCAAGCAGCCTATGGGAGCCCGTAATCTGCCATCACCCAAGGGTCAAAAAATTCAAAACACAGCCAGCAGTTGTGGTCAGAGAACCTGAAAGTGGCACATGCAGAGTTGAGGCGTAATGGAGACAGTCACAAAGGAGGACCGTACAGGTACCCAGTATGTTAAGATACTCTGAACGCTGGCAGCAGCATGAGGATTGCGGTAATAGGGGCCCATGGCAGATTAGGTGGCCTGTGCAAGCAGCTAGTTTGAAGAGGCCCGTAATACTGCCAGCACCCTATGCACAAAAAATGGAACAACACCAGCCAGCAGTGTGAGTACCCCTGATATTGTGTGCACATGCGCAGGGAAAAGATTCATGGCGATTTAATAGTCAGTATGTTTCACAAGTTAACTGGTGGTTTGAAATCCAGACTAAAATCCACGCCTGATTCATTTTCACAAACTGAGACTGACTCCACACTTTGGTTGTGGACAGTCGTGTCCTCCGCGAGGGCACGCCTACACTACCTCCTTCCGCACTAAACACTGCGCTCCGATGTTCAGCTCTAACGCTCGTGGCCTGGCATGAGACAGCCTATTCAAGGGCCCCTCCTCAAGCTAGTTGGCTGGCTTCAAATGGTCATTAGTATTTTCGTTTCCCAGTAGTCAAGGGAAGACCATTGCTGCTACCTCATTTTGGCAGGGTTGCTGTCCAAGTAGGGCCCAGCCTTTGTTTAAAAAGGTACCTGCCTCAGGTCACCTGATCTGGCTGACTGCTTTGCGGCATAGGTTGTTGTCCACACATGCTGCTGGTGAAAATGAAAGCTAACACATCATCGACTTGCAGGACTGAGGCTAATCCGTCCTGGTGGAGCTACCACTATGCTGTGCCTACCACCCCACGTCCTCCCCTGCTGCCAATGGCAGCCGTTGAACGTGAGCGCAACAGGGTCCCCCCAGGTGACTGATAGACCGACTTTGTGCGCACAAATGGTCCATGACCAACTGACTACATAGATGGTTTTAATAGTACGATTATTTTTAGGCCTCCCTCTCACAGTTGTGAAAAAGGCCACCCATGCTTTTGAACGTGGACAGCGAGGGTTGCCCAACAAGGTTGAGCAGCCAACAAGGAACATCCCTCTGTCTGATGGAGTATTATTCGGCTACTGTCGCTACGCAAGCAAACCGATGCATAGCTATGGGTGCCATTTGTCCAGGAATTCCATTCCCCCTCCATCTACCACAGCATAACTGTTAACCACGGGTGCGTCTGGGACCTCTGTCGCCTAAACCTACCAACACTCACTCCTCTACCAACATGGGCTCCTGCTCCCCACTCCTGTCCGCTGAGTGGAAAAACACCCCAGGTTTTTCCACCTCAATACTTCCTGAGTGCACAAATGTCCCTCCTCTACCTCCTCCTCTTCTTCCCTGTCCTGAGGTCCCCCAAAGTGGGTCATGTGGCGTTGAGATCTGTGCGCCACGTTCCTACCGCACACCCTGACCAGCCATTGTTAACAGCATTTGGGTTTTTCCAGGACCCGTGCAACCAGAAAGGAATGGACGTCGTTCATCCCATAGTCCTGCCGACTCACGAATAGCCGGGCCTCCTCAAAGGGCCTGAGAGCGGCAGGTGTCACGCATTGAGCTGCCCCTCCAATGGGCTTAGACATCGAAGTTACACAGGGTGAGTACCTTTATCCTCCGCTTGTAACATCAGTAGAAATCTGAGAGTGATCGGCCCTTTTCGCTGTTCGATAAAGGCGGTATCTAACATGTGTAGGGGTTGAAAATTCCCCCATGTTTGCATTGCAACGTCGCAGAATCAGCGAGCTGCTGGTGGAATTCCCGTTCGCCTGCCATGGCAGCTCAAGGAGGGTGGTGCTTTTTGCGTTGTAGGAAGATGGCTGAAATGCATGCAAAGTTTAACGTGACATTTTAAGGATGTCTTGCAGTGGGATGGTGGATTTTAAGGGAACCCGGCTATGACAACCAGAATTTGAACAACGTGTAAGCCAGTTTATGCATAGGCGCATGGGCACAACCTTCCCTTGACGCAGGGCAGAGACACCATTTGTTCTTTCCGTTGTCGGTCAACATGAGTTCCGAATTTACTCAGTATTTGGCGCGGAGACAGCCATCCTGGATCGATTTCTCTGTTCCATAACACTGGAGAAGTTCCTCCCCTGTTGTGACTAGACAAAAAAACGTTCGCCAAGGCATACCAGGTGGCAGCACACAAGCGTAGGACACCGTATGCGCCCTGCACATGTGATAAGCCGGTCGGGTTGTAATGGGAACTTGGCACGGGGTGGCGGCTGAGGACACGAAGGAAAAGAGAGTTGTAGGTAGAGGCGGACATCATTTTTGTGGACCAAGGACGTGCAAACGTGGGAGGCAAAAGCGGCGTGACCTGTGTCCCCAAGTATGCTGGTGCGGCATTTGTGACGGCACCACGTTCACCCAGTTGGGCCGTAAAATGACATGTACTAGTCCCTGACCGTTAGTTACAGCTCCTACACGTCCGGCGCTGCCGAGTTCACTTTTGGCAGAGACCGACATGCTTAAAGACTGGCCCACCACTCTTCTACATGTGAATGCAGGCTTGAGGTCACTGCCGAATTTTTTTGGCGAAGAAATGACGGCTTTGGCACTCCTCCACCTGCGGCGCGGGCACAAGGCCATCATTTCTCGGAAAGGTTGCTGAGTCCACCACTTGGAAAAGGGAAGTGGACTGCAGCACCAGCAACTTGGACAGGAGGACACGTTCAGCTATTTATGCACCGTCCGGGTGCGTGCTCGCAAACTGACTTGTCTCTTGGAAACAGGATTCCAAGAAAGACTGCTGACGGAATCCGTGAACGAGAAGTAGCAGGAGAAGTGCATCTGAACGAAGCCGTGAAGATTGGCAACGAGCGACAACTCCCCCCTCAGCAGAGGTGTTGGAGAGCCTTTGACTAGGCTGCTGATAGATTGGGCGATTGACGTCGTGGCGTGACGGAGCCAAGTTAACGGAGCGGGTGATGGAGCGGGGGCCAGGGGCGGGCAGAAAACGCCCCCCGTATCTTTATCACGGTGTTTTTTTCCCAGGCCACCAAATGGCGACGCATGCATATGCATGCCGCAACGCTGTAGTCCCCAACATGGCCCCCGGGGCCCCCTGGCCCACGCTTGAACTTTTCCTGGCCACATAGTCGACATACGGCTACGAATTAAACTCTCCTCTGATCGGCTGGCTTGACTGAAAAAAATGCCCACAAACAAGCAACCGCCGATGTAGGAAACTTTGCCCCACGATACTCCTCCACTGTCTGAACTCATGCATCCTCCGTGCAACACCAGCACCACAACTGGACTGGCCGTGGTGGTAGGCTGCAGTGGGAGCTGTGTGCAGTACATCCCCCGTGGCCGTTTGCCCTCCACTGGACACTGCTGCGACCCTGCTGACCTTCTGTTGGCAACCCACCGACAGTTTTTGCTACGCTTGCCGAAGCTCTGCCATCCTCTTTCGACCTGATGTGATGCGGAAGGCAATATCCTGATGAACGACGAGGGCTTGCCAAGAGCGATCTAGCCTCCTCATCATCAATTAAGGGTCTTCCGCCTCACAGTGGGGGGGGGGGGGGGGGGGGGGGGGGGGGGGGGGGGGGGGGGGGGGGGGGGGGGGGGGGGGGGGGGGGCTAGCCCCCTCGGAACTTGCGTGTGGGTCCAGGAGACCAGACCTGATTCTCTAGAACGCGGCTACCACTGACCACTCACCTCTCCTCGTCCACCTACTTCTGTCGCCTGGCTGCTGAAGAGGCGGATGTCCTTCCCCGCCGTTCCTGATCCGCACGCACTCGTTTAGCTCTTTCCTCACTGGTACAGATGGGGCTGGATCCACACAGCATGGCGAAGTACTTCTCGCTTAGGTGAAGGGAAACAACCAAAAGGACATGAGCAGGTACGAGGACAACGTGATTTCAGTGTGGGCTTGGTCCCGGGCCAATGCCCAACGTAGACAGTTGTGTCTGACGTACCCGACCGACCGTTGGCTGTAGGTGTCAGAGTTGACCTGAGGAATAGGAAGACGAACCGAAGTGCCAAACCGAATCAATGACGGCAGGGTTGTCGGTGGAAGACACGGACCGCTGGAGTGACACCATGAAGCACTGGCCTCTGGCTGCGAATAGTGCTGCCGTCTTCACCCCTTCCTCTGCTAGCCGAGTACACGTCTGCTCACACGCTCCTAAAACATTAGCCATCCTCTTGCTGCCATTCTCTCGCATGTTGTTTGTGTGACATATCTGCTTTAATTAAACGATTCTGTGTCCCTGAGTAACAATTCTGTGTGCGTGTCCCTGAGTAACAATTCTGTGTCCCTGAGTAATGTTTTCTGATGGCCCTAAAAAGGGTAACAATTCTGTTGTCCCTCCCAGTAACAATTCCCCCCCTCGATTCTGTGTACCTCCAGTTAACCAATTTTTCGTGTCTTGTCGCCAGAGGTACACAATTCCAGTGTCCCTGAGTATGCCAATTCTGTGTCCCTGAGTAAACAAATTCTGTTGGTCCCTCAGTAACAATTCTGTGTCCCTGGAGTAAAACAATTCTGTGGGTCCCAGATTAACAATTCTGTGTCCCTCAGTAACAATTCTGTGTTCCCTGAGTAACAATTCGACATACTGTGGTCTGTCCCTGAGTAACAATATCTGAGTGTCCCTAAGTAACGTTTTCTGTGGCCCTAAGTAACGGTTTCTGTGTCCCTCAGTAACAAATCTGTGTCCCCTCAGTAGACAATTCTGTGTCCCTCAGTAACAACTTCTTGAGTGTCTGTGTCCCTGAGTAACAATTCTGTGTCCCTTGAGTAAAAACAACTTCTCCGTTCCCTCAGTAAAACCATTCTGTGTCCCTCAGTAACAAATTTTCCTGTGGTCCCTGAGTAACACATTCTGATGATCCCTACTTGAGTGTGGGGTTAGGAGGTGTGCGGGTT